AAGTTGCATACTCATCAAACTATAGATTTCATTGATAGCTTTTCTTCAATCTCAAGAATTTGTAAATTTAACTTATATTTAACACTTGATAGACTGTTAAATTATAATTAATGTCAAACTTATAGGCAATTCTATGTAGTTGAATAATTAGCTATCAAAGTTATAATCAATATGGTTAATTTAATAAATAATTTCAAAATTTACAATTAATTATGGTGGTTAACTAAGAAAATTATTTTTGCACTAACGCTAAATCATCTTAGTATTAATATATAGGGCTATTGATACAATCTCCATTATTGAATATTATTGGAACTCACTTATTTGATGGTAAAAACCATGTCATCTCAAGTGATGTAACTCAGTTTTTACCATCAAATAAGTGGGTCTTATTAGTACACATTAGGCTTGTTTAGTTGTTGTATTGTAAGAATGAATTGTATTAGAAAATACAGACCAATTCCATATTGGTGGATAAAATACAAGATTAAATGAGACAAAAATATTATGCATTATAATCCAGTATTTAGTAAGACACTGGATTAAGAATAAGATAATAGAGTAACAATTATATATTGACTAAAAAACCATCAATCTTGCATACTTATATTAATATTTTTGTTTATCTATTGGGTAAAATAGTAAATTTACAACTTAATATGCTTGAATTGAATTATAATACTACCTTTTCATATGGTATTATAATTGGCTTAATAGTATGAATACAATGTATTATTTGGATAAACACATTTTAATACTCCAATCAAAACGACCTCATTGAATGCTGAGATTACGCATTAAATTTCTGGTAGTAAATCCATAATCAAAAATGTGTTTGTGATTGTTCTAGAAGAAATGAAACAAAAGATACGGTAGAACTAGAAGAGTTGTTGTATGTGGTTTATCCAATACTAGATGCAGAGGTGCATAATAGATTGATATGAATATCATGAGATGTCCCGTAATAAAATCAGTTGTTGTTGATATTTTCTTCTCGATTCTTTCTTCCATAATCTAAGCTACAAACTGCTGACTTATCTATTTTTTTGACCAATTCAAAGAGTTAAGACTAACGATTCGGTGATTAGTGTTGGAGATTGTGCTATATTACTTGTGATGAGTCTCACTTAAATGCATTATAGGTAATCTATGAAAAAGAAAATTAGAGAAAAAATATATTGTAGAGGAGATCTCACTCCGGTTTGAATGAATATTTAGTCCTTCATAATCTTATAAGAGTAGTGCAATTGGGACTTGCAAATCTGATTTAATTTGTTAATCTGATGATGTGACTGTTGGAAAAAATTAGCATAATTATACATAATCTTAATTATTAAATTAATATCAATATCACATAAACAAACACAAAATAACAATAAATTTAAAATGGAATAAAATAGATACTATAAATTAGAAAGAACTGGTCTGCGAGTCCGAGAGTCGTGTGAACACTGTCCTAGAGTAGATGAGCCTCCCCGCGTGAGGGTACTGACGGACACCAGCGACTCCAAAATCAAACTCAAACGCTCGCAGTAGCACCTCTTCAATGGTCATGTCCACTAGAAGAAAGGAGTGAATCTAACTCGAATCGAAGTTACCCAAAACCATAATCGGAAGATACATCTATAATATATATGAAAAAAAGATACATACTACAAAAACACATATATATATCCATTAGATGTGTTAGTATGAGCTCATTTTATATGTACTTGGGCTTTTAAGGTCTACCATCTAGTAACCCCCACCACATAAAGGCATTCAAATGCCCAATTAAAACAAAATATAATTACTCAATTAAATCATATAAAAATTCAATTAAATTCTAAATTAAAAGTGATTCATTAAAACATATAAAATAAATTAAATGAAAAATTTTAAAGCTTTTATTATTATTTTTTTCAATAATCCCCCACAAGTTTTAAAATTTTGAATATTAATGATAAATATAATTTTATACATATATACATATATAAGCATAAAATGAACATAGAAAAATTAGGGCAACTATAATACGGTGCAATGGGTGTAAGTTTTTTTCGCACTTGAACCTCACTTAGTGTTGACATTTTCTCCCTAAAGAATCATAGTGACCAAAGACTTGAACTAGACTTTTTGAGCCAGAGTTCAACTATTACACACACAGTACCGATATTGGTCAAGATTCATGGGTTAGTGCGTTTAATGGCCTTACACTTAATCTTGATTTTCATGAGAGGTTCTAAAGAATAGCTCAATTCTCATAGTCGCGGCCTCACAACTACTCTCAGTTAGGTGAGCCCTCCAAGGTTACATGTGCACAATACCCTGCATGAGTGTTCCTGCCTTGGTCTCATTCAAGATAAAATCCTTCCTTATCGTCACACTACATATGCACCTCTGCCATAGGGATGAGCATGAAAATATCTCCTCTTAGGATATTTTCTCATCCACGGTGCTAAAGAGTCACGCCATATGGATTGTTTCTATCCATTGGACTTCCTTCATGGGGTTCCCAATCACAGAAGTTAGGTTACCTCCCTAGGTGACTTCCTTACGGGCTTAAACACACCCCCTTCGACAGTTCTTGAGACATTTTTTTCTCAAAAGTAAGGCTTTCCTCGAAAACTCACTAATCAAATTAATCAACATTTATATATTTGTGTTTCATAGCTTTCCTCGAAAGCTTTTTAATTTATTTGTCAGCTCTATTTAACTGAGCTTTCATAAATATTAAAATGATTACTTTTCACATGTTCATGTCTCGTTGAGTGTGCACACCTTCATATCTTCTCATTGATATTGATTTGACCTGTCTTTTAAATAGCACTCAGGAACAACACATTAAAATGCATTTGTTTGAAAAACCCTTAGATATGAAACTTCCCCACATATATATGAAACTCTTATAACAACAGTAAGCAAATTCAGCAGGTAATTCATATATATTTTATTACCTTAAAATTTACCCCCACATTTCCAAGAATTCTCATAACAAATTGACCCATGCTTCATAAAAGTAGCATTTCCATCAACCCCACATTGCAAGAATTTCTTGCCCCCACGGTTGGCTCATATCAAATATTGAACAAATTGAATTCAAGGAGTGCTTCTAAAAATAAAATGAACTTAGTCTTGGAACAATTCTTATGTACAATCTTTCTCATAAAACATTAAAACGTAAATCCAAACTATATCCAAAGGTTACTTAAAATGTTAAGGCATCAATAAGAAATAAACCTTGACACTCAAACTAACTGTATAAAGACATCACATTATTAACAAAACCATATGTCTCATGTCTTTTGGGGCAAAAATAAATCATAGTGCTCTTTCCAAAGTTTATCATGCATTTTGACATTCTTGGATTAATCCGTATGGCATCTAAATCTTTATAATGGTATAAACTTTAATAGGATTAATGTCTCTATTATTGTCAAAAAAATTTCAAGTGTTTGAAAATAGTAAATCCTATACCAACATCCCCATTCCAGTCCAATCATTTGCACCAAAAGTCATTGTGTTGCAAGTATTAAAATCCATACCTATGAGAAGCTCCTCACAGGAATGACTCAATAACGTTAACTCAAGATGCCATTCTATAGTCAGTGTCAAATATCACAAATGACCAATCACAAACTAGATATATGTAAAAATAAAATGCTAAATATATAGCTGTTTTTTTTTTAAATGATCACAAACTGCATAAGATCCCTCTAACTAATGTGATTTAGTTATCACATGTATATATGCTCATGCAATGAAATTATATCTGTAGTACAAGCAAAGGTGTTATACATTCACCATAAAACTAAGGATAACCACCTATTGAGCTGAAATTTCAATCAGCAAATAATTATTAGGCCCCCACTAATTTTGAAATAATATTAGATGCATAGGCTACTTGAATTTAATGAGATGAATAAAACAGTTTGTATTGTAAGAAATCTAATGGTGGACTAATAGTCGAAAACCTTGAAGAAAGTTTACACCTCACAATTGATATTTACATGAATCATGTATATTAAAGTACTTAAAGAATATAATAAGTAGATGCCAACCAACGGCTCATATGAAATAAACAGGCAAATAAACAATTACAACATAGAACATCCGATAGACATGAGCGTTAAAACCAAATGACCGTTACTTTGCATTCAGTATCTCGAATTATAACTTCAAATAACTGATGGCTGCTATGTAATATTTTTAAGGAAATATGCACAATGTGGCAAATTTCTCTAATGTTATCCACAAATTCACAGCCACAACTAAAACGTCAAAACAAAATCACCAACCATAGTCCATCAGTACCATTAGCAGGCGGTAGAATGTGGGAGGTGTCATACAATAGCGAATAGTTATTAGGGTCTGCAAATTTACTACAATGGCATCCTATTACCTTAACCATAATTACAGTAGTAATATCACAAACCTATAACAACCCACTAGTTAATTAGATTTTATTATAGAATGTTGTTATGGTCCAAAAATGTTAATGACAAACTGATTTGGTAATCAAAGACTATACGGAAACAAATGTATTCCTTTATATTCATGTTCCACGGATGTATCATATATTCAAAACTATTAGTCTACTCAACCAACACGAGTAGTTTATCTAGTATAACAAGGTTTTTTGTTTTTTTTCCCCCCCTTTTTTTTCAAAGCTAGTAGCTGTTTTTTTTTTTTTATAAAAGCAAGTAGCTAAAAAAAAAATTGTTTATCAGAAAAACTTTTTTTTTTTCCAGAAAATTGCTTTTCCAAAAAAAATTCAGGAAGTGAAAAGAGCTGGGTAATTCTTTGGATGATCCTGTTGAGCTCTTGCTCAGGTCCTAAATACCAAACCCTTGTCAGGGAATTAAATGAATCATAGCTTACACGCCTCAAAATTCAAGGTTATACTTGGGGTTATGACGATACTACTAGAATATGAAAATAACTTCGACATGTGATGTCAATATAAATGTGCTGCTTCATGGAAAGGAGAGGAGGTGGGGTTGCCTTGAATTTAGCAGTTATCAAGTGGATGAGACGCTGCAGTTGGGAAGTCTAGGCATGTAGAAACAGGCCTGAGAACTTATGAGCTTGTTGGATGGCTCCATTTGACATATGAATAAAAATGGAGATGTATCTGAGTGGAAGAAGACTACTGATTGGCTCTGCCATAATTTCCCAGAAAGATTTCAAGAATGAGAATTTTTATCATTTGAGTGAATTTTTGCAACTTTGCTTTGCGAAATGTGAATGAAGTGTGTTTTAACCAAATATTGATCAATACGGTCGATAAAAAGAAAAAAAACATGGGCTCAATTCTCTCTTATTTCTTTGGCGATTACAACCCACCTTACCCAAATATTTATGTGCATCTTGCAACATAAAAATCCTCAACAAGTGAACAGTGTAATGATTAGGGCTTGTATTATGTGATGCCTCTAGTATTATTAGCTTGTTTTTTTTCCCCCAATCTTACAATTTTAATTTTCCACTTTATCCCTATCCACAAGTACTGTAGATGGCAAGCAAGAAAGATGACACTGATATTTCAGCTGCTTTAGATAGTTGGGAAAAATTAGCATAATTATACATACTTTTAATTATTAAATTAATATCAATATCAAATAAACAAATACAAAATAATAATAAATTTAAAATGGAATAAAATAGATACTGTAAATTAGAAAGAGCTGGTCTGCGAGTCCGAGAGTCGTGTGAACACTGTCCTAAAACAGATGAGCCTCCCCGCGTGAGGGTATTGACGGACACCAGTGACTTCAAGATCAAACCTAAACACTCACAGTACCACCTCCTCAATGATCACGTTTACTAGAAAGAAGGGGTGAACCTGATTCGAATCGAAGTTGCCCAAAACCATAATTGGAAGATACATCTACAATATATATGAAAAATGATACATACTACAAAAACACATATATATCCATTAGATGTGTTAATATGAGCCCCTTTTATATGTACTTGAGAATGCTAGCCATTAGAGGCTTTTAAGGTCTACCATCTAGTAACCCCCACCACATAAAGACATTCAAATGCCCAATTAAAACAAAGTATAATTACTCAATTAAATCATATAAAAATACAATTAAATCCTAAATTAAAAGTGATTCATTAAAACATATAAAATAAATTAAATGAGAAATTTTAAAGCTTTTATTATTATTTTTTTCAACAGTGACTTCATTGTAATTATTGGAGTCATAATTTATTGACCTAATTCACTATAGTCATTAGATTGACCATATGATCCATTAAATATTAGAACTTAATGTTGATCTAATGATGTGAATCCAGTGATTACAATATAGTCACACCATTAGATCAACGAATTATGTCAGATTTTAAGTTTCAACTTTCAATAGCATTAGTCATCGCATAATGTGTGCCTATTCTTCTTTAAGGCCAACAATAATGTTACTTAGATCTAATCTATTGAGACAATGAGTTAACTTAATTTATTATTTTTGTTAGATTTATGGTGGACTTTATACAAAGTTGAAACTTTGCCGATGATCCAAAGCCCAAAATGAATTAAGTGGAGCAGAATAACTTACCAGCATCATGCCTTTGTTGATTTCATCTTTACAGTATTCAGGTTCACTTTCTTGGAATGACAGGAGAACATCGATCATTGTCTTGGTTTCCTTCTCAGAAGAAGAATTACTCCTCATTCTTCTATGCTCTTCAATCAAATCTTGCATGAACTGGTTTCTTTTTTCCTGTAATACCGCCAACTTCTTTTCAATCCCATTGAATCCAACCCATTTTAGAATAGGCATGAAATCTCCCATATTTGTAGCTCCACTCAATCGAAAACTCTTATTACAATCTCCTTGAACTTTCTTGTTTCCTCCAATTCTGCCGCATTATCACCATAGTATTGCTTTCCAGCAATCATCTTCATTAGGAATTTGAGTATCATCTCAAAAAAGACCAATTTCATCTCCACCGTGTGGTATTCGCCGTCACCAGAGCCTCTAAAAAGCCGGCAAATTAGTGAGTAAACCTCATGACCACGTATGCTGGAGAACATTTGAATGCGACTAGTTGACAGGATTTCAATGGTGGTTATTCTCCTTAAGTTGCACCAGAGGTGGCCGGAGGAGGCCGAGACAATGGTGGTGTAATCATAGCCAAGGTGTTTTCTGGCAAGCAGTCGAGGGCGGTTCGCAAAGATGATATCGTTTTTGGTGAAGCAATCATCTGCAGCAATGGGGGAAGATACAAGTAGTGATAGATTCCATATAAAGCTTGAAGAAGAAGATAGATGCACACAGAGAAAGTAAGAGAAACAAAGATTTTTCCATTACATTCTCAGTTGCAGTGTACAAGTATTTATAACAAAACTTAGTTACAATGCCAGCTTGGACTTAACTAACTAATAGACAAACTTGCAGGTTAGTTGCTGCAGCAACAGAATTGCATTCCTTCACATGGCAGTAGCTGATATATGAGAATTGCTTGTGTAATGCTGGTATTGTGTAATACACCCCCTCAAACTGATGGTGGGGGACCAACCAGTAGTTTGTCTCTGAGAAGCAAAAATCTGGCAGAAGATAGACCTTTGGTGAAGACATCAGCCAACTGATCCTTAGTAGAAATATACTAGACAGTTAGAGATTTATTTGCCACCTTCTCGCAGATGAAATGAAAGTCTATCTCTATATGCTTAGTTCTAGCATGAAACATGGGATTAGATGCAAGTGCCAAAGTTGAAATGTTATCACACCAAAGAGTAGGAGTGTGAGATGGAAAAAGTTGCAGACTTTGTAAAAGTATTAGCAACCATTTAAGTTCAGCAGTGGTTTGAGCAAGAGCTCGAAATTCAGCCTCAGTAGAAGACCTAGATACAATACTCTATTTCTTTGTAGACCAATGAATGGGATTATCTCCAAGAAAAAGAAGATATCATGTAGTAGACCTTTTGTCATTAGGATCCCCTGCCCAATCAACATCTATAAAAACTGATAGAGTAAGAGAACTAGGCCTGTAAAAGAGACCAAAATGAGAAGTTCCCTTGAGATACCTCAGAATCCTCTTGACTGCTGCAAAATGAACATCTGTAGGAGAGCTCATATATTGACAAACATGATTGACTGAAAAGGTAATATCAAGTCTGGTAAAAGTGAGATACTATAGAGAACCAAAAATACTTCTATATAAAGATGGATCATGTCACACCCCCACCTCGGATCACATAGGGTGAGCAGCGGACCGGCCACCGAGGCCTTAACTAGTCATCCATGTGCATAATTAATGCAAAATACAGTGAAAGACAAATAATAAAGTGATCTTTTTCACCGATATAATGAATACCAGAGAAATAAACTAACATCACCGACATTATTATTAAACTCATGTAAAATAATAATTAATCCATAAGGTTCACTACTCTAAGTAAAAACAACATTATTTTCAAAACAATCGAATACTCGCCTCAAAACTATAAAAAAAAATATTTATTCCTGAACACCTACAATAAAATAAATCTTTGATTCTTCTAATCCCTTGTCTATCCGAGGACTTACTGCTTGACAAATTTCCTTGTTGTTTCCTAACCTATAAACATCACCTTTTAGCATATATAGTATATGAATAAAGGGGAGTGTCACTCTCCTAGGGATGATGTCAAAAGAAAGGGCAATGGAATGATGGATGAATGAGATTTCAAATGTGCGTATGTGTGAACAAAAGTGTTCCCCAAGCACAAGGAGACTTTCACGGATCGTGTTTTATTTGGTGGTATTCCAAGGTCGTTTCCACGGGGAAGGAAGTAAATCGAGGGGAAGGTGATTTTGGGAGAAAGAAAGTGCAAAATCTTTGATTGTTGGAAGTTGTTTGGTGAAGTTGTTTTGATGCTAGTAAAATGAGAAACAAATGTTGGCAAATCCAAGAGGTCACTCCAATAGGAATACCGTCTCAACTCAAAACCCTCCTCCAATAGAGCATGAATGAACAATTGATTCGTGGGAAGCTAGGGATAAGATTGGTGAGTATCTAAGCATAAACCGTGACTAGGCCTACGGAATATCAAAAACTCACCAAGTTATGCACCCTCAACCCAATCAAACCGAATCATTGAACTCTGAAAAGAGGGGAGGAGAATGAGTTGAAATGGTATACCCAAGTGGAGGTACCTCTTAGTTTTTCCAACTAAGAGATTTAGTTATTCATGCTTAAAATAAAGACAACAATATGATGAGAAGACATTATAAAAAAATAAAGACTAAAACTAAGCATAAACGAATTGCATAAATTTAACTTCCGGATAACCACCTCTTACTAAAGATTGGATGAGAAACTACTCACTCTTCATAGCTTTGTTAAAACTAGAAAAGTGAGTGATGCTCATCCCTCCAAGTAGAGGAGTTACAAGGTAACACATTTTACACAATGAGCCGATCTTCGACAAAGAATGAGTGAATCACGTTCCACCCTTCACGGCTTTGGTAAAACTCTAGAAAAGTGGAAGAGTTTCACTCCTCTAAGGGAAGAAGGAAGCTCAAGCAATGGAAGTAAAAGAAAGCAATAACACAATAAAAGAAAGCAATACTTAAAGTAAAAGAAATCAATAAATTAAAAGGAAGCAAGAATACAATAAAAGAAAGTAATACTTAAAGAAAGCTATAAGCAATAATGAAAGCAATAATACTTTTGGAGGGTTTTTCACTACCAAAAGATGAATGATTTACAAGTCCTAAGGGGTGGTATTTATAGGCAACAAGGGAGGGTGAAAGTCTTGTTAGGTGGCCTTGAATCTTGTTAGGTGGACTTGAAGAGTCTTGTTAGGTGGGCTTGAAAATTTTGTTAGGTGACTTTGAATCTTGTTAGGTGGACTTGAAAATCTTGTTAGGTGGCCTTGAATTCTTTGATCCTCCTTTGTTTTGAGCTTTGATAATTGGCACCCCAGTAGTTTGTAGCTTTAATGCAATTGGCTCCCCAGTAGTTTGTAGCTTTGACGCACAAAATCCTAAAAGAACAACAATTAATGCATTATCCTTTATTCACACACTAATTCTAATTTGATTTATTTTGACTAGTTTAACTTTATTCAACTAACACAATTTACCTATTAAATTATGCCTTAATTAGGGTTAATCACACCCCCAACCTAAATATTACTAGTCCCTAGTAATAAACAACATAACAAAATAAAATCACTTTCGTAGATTACACGATTGCATTTAGCATATGCAATAAGCCGTTAAACCCCTAGGTGATTCCTAGTGGACGAGTTTTGTCTCGTGAAGGTTTCCAGTGAAGCTACCTACAAACTCCAATTAAAAGATGTGTATATGTAAAATTTCTTGTCAAAATGAGTTAGCAACAAAATCATTGAGGCACACATCTCTTAATTTTTGAATTGTTTCCCGAACACTTTTCTGTCAATGGTACGTACTCTATACAAAAATAAACACTTGTTACATTGGTATTTGGAATTCCTTGTGTAGTAGGAATGATCATTCTAGTAGCAAGAATTGTTATATAACAAACATTATACTTTATCACCTTCCATGGATAGCTTTGATTTCTCAAATCTCTCTTAGAATGCTCTCAGCAAAAAAATTCACTCCGATTATAATGACTTGTCTCTCAAAGGGCATGTGATCAGAGGATGGTCAATCGAAGAATCACATGCACAGTTAGAAAGGGAGTGAAAGTCTTAAGAAAGTAGGCTAATCATGTTCTTGGCATAATCTCATGGAAGAATATCAATGCAATTAAAAAAATACTATTTAACATACCCCAGTTTTCGATCGACAACACACACATGCATTAGACTTGAGATCAATTAGGACTTTCTATAGGTTGTAATGTGGCCAGAGGTTAGTGGCTAATGAAACAACGTCAATGGTATTCAAAAGCTATCCCCTTTTTTAATGTAGCACACCTCTTTCTTGCTTTTCAGTCTTTTGCCTAGAAATGGTATTTCTTTCTTTCAATTTTTTTTTCGATTCTTCATTGAACAGTAGCCACCATCTTCTTTTTTGTTTTTCTTGACTTTCTATGTCATACCGATTTATAAGAGGGTGCAAGAAAAAATTGGATAGCAAGGTATGTTAAGTGTAATTTTTTTTGTGGCTCGGTTATCATATGGGTTTTTCGAGAAAAAAAAAATCATCATTCATTGAAGGCTCAAACATGGCTAACTAGGGATATAATTTTGTAGAAGCAATGGCTAAGGTTCAAAATCAACTCAAAGATGACCTAAAATCCTTTCTCAAGTATGTGCCTGTGTCGCATGCAAAGGTTCCCTGTAGGATATGTCAATAGATTACTTTAGTTGCATTTAATCAAAGCAAGTTTAATGAGATTATTCAACAATTGAAAGTGAAAGAGCTTACTTGAGTAAATGTTGATTGTCTCTCAGAAAGCATCGTAAGGCTCAAAACTTACCATGATATTCTTCGTTATCTCCACTGGTTATGTCAGGTTTCCAAAGAATGTCAGTTATATTATAATTCTATTTTCGAGTCTGGTCATTCTGTACCTTAAGATTAACAAATACCAATGTACATTTGACATTTAAGCATAGAGAAAATACCATTTTTCAAGGAAATGCAATTTTTTTTAACTCGAATAAAAATCAAAACTATTTACATACACATTTATCCATGAAAATTTACAAAAAGACTAAATGCACATATTGAACTTGGAAAACTATGGTGTCTCAGGATAGGTCCCTACCCACGCTACAAGTTGGCATTTTAGGACAATCCTTACTCGACCCACATTTTTATTTCAACAAAAAGACTTTGTACATAAACAAATATTTACAAAAAAAAATTTCGGACCATTAACCTTCATCCCAAAACACATTTTTCCACAGCTTTGTCATTATTAGTTAAAATTTAATCCGAGTCGTCGCTTGTGTCTATGTCATTATTAGTGACCCTTTCCACTTCTTGTCGCACATAACGTGTAAGTCCCGGACTGGTATAAGATGGCGTCTCAGGAAAATCCTTACTCTGCCCATACACTATCCAGTTTAATCGATCGGTTGCACGACCCGAAATTGGTTCAAAACACTGATTGTATTTTTTCATGTGAAAACACCTGCCACATTGTTTACAAGCACCCAACCGTTTGGCACGACGACGTTTAGCAAAAGTACTTCTGCCACACAATGGTTTTGCTTGTGCTTCTCGGATTTCAATTTTTCTGACTACTCTTGCTTTTCTCATGATCACAGCATGCACATC